TAATGTGGGGAGAAAAGGGCAAAAAGTGATTATGTAAGTAAGTCATGTTTGAATATAAAAGTGTTAGTCACTCAGTTGTGCCTGAAATCGTTGTGACCCCCACGGATTTTAGCCCGCTGAGCTCCTCTGTCCTAGAATTCTCTAGGCAAGAATACTGGAGTGGGTAGCCATTCCCTTCTTCAGGAGACCTTCCCGACCCAAGGGTGGAACCCAGGTCTCCTGCATTTGCAGGTGAATTCTTTACCATCTGAGCCTCCAGGGAAGCCCATGTCATGTACACACAGCAACAACTTGCTAATTTTCCCTGATGACTCACAGACCCACTTTGTGAATTATACATCAATTAGTATATGAACAAAGGCAAGTGTTAGGACAAGGACATGATTACACAAATGTATATCATTACAGACTAAAAGCCCTAGTTAATTAAAATGGTACCTGAAGCATATTTTCACACCTTCCTGTGATTATTTTACTGCTATTCATTCTCCTAAACCTGTAGCCAGTTCCCATTCTTATCACCCTTGTCAATAAATTAGAAAAAGAGTTACTCAGGTATAAAAGCCAACATTTTCTGTATAATGGAAATGCACAGGGAATCAACAATTTCAACAAAGGAAGGAAAATACTGCCATATAGAAGCAATAATCAAAGAAATATAATTTATAAAGATTGGTTTTTAAAGTAACATTATATAACACAAGGGCTTCTCAGGTAGTACTAGTGGTAACGAACCTGCCTGCCAATGCAGGAGATGGTAACAGATGCAGGTTCAGTTCCTGGGTTGGGAAGATCCCCTGGAGAAGGAAAATAGCAACCCACTCCCGTATTCTTGCCTGGAGAAGTCCATGGACAGAGAAGCCTGTAGCCATGGGCTACCATCTGTGGGTTCACAAAGAGTCAGACATGACTGAAGTGACTCAGCACACATATAACACAAAGCAAGTTATGCCATTTTAAAGAAAAGTATAATTGCATCTGTTGTATTGAGATGATTTAAGTGCTAACCTCTTGAAACCTGGTAACAAATCAGTACCTAATTGTTTCAGGATTTTGTTTCAAAATAGGCAAAACTATGCTTGTGACAATAGTCTGAAGGAGGTAATACATAGGCAGAGGTTGAAAGATGTACCTAATTGAGGAATGAACTAGTCAATCAGCCCAAAGAAGCAAGGATGCCATATTGCTTAGCACCTAAATGCACAGTTGACCACACATGAATAGGACACCAATCTACCAAGCTACCCCTATTAGTGATGTACACAGCTAATGAACAATAAAATTTTTTCATTTAGATTTTCTTTCTTAACTCCTTAAGTGCTTTAAATTCTGGACCTATTTAATATTACTTAGTAAAATTTATTATATTGACATGAGGATTCATTCATGTTAATTAGATTTCTCTTTATACATTCCTCAATTAACGAGCATTCTACTCCTTGTTAGAATATCAGGTCATCATTAAAAAAAGAAGACAACAGAGAAGAAGCAGCAGCAGTCTAGCAACAGCAGACAGGGAACTAAAAGATGTTTTAGGCAGGCTGTGTCCTTGTCTCTTATTCTAACATTTACTAGAAATGGTTATATATAATGTCTGCAGCTATCTCTTCCAGTGCTTAACCATTATGATGTTAATTAGAGCAGTCTTAAACTGTAAATGTGATTCAGTCAAAAAATAGTCAAGATTCTGGAATTAGACAATGTATATATGAGAAGCGGTTCTGTTTCTCCCTCCTCTTTCTTTCACTCTACCTACTACTTTCCTTCTCTTTTACCTCCATCCTGCCTCCCTCCCACATTTTCTGCCATCATCACCATCATCTTCATCTCTATAGCAGCCATATATGTTGAGTCCATATTGCCAGGCAATTTACATGTACTAATACATTAGACAATTTATGAAATAGCTCAGGAAACTGACCAAGCTCAAACAGCTGTGGTATCGTGAGTGAATTTCAAGCCCGGGCTCAGTGAATTGATGGTTTCTTTTTTTAATCACTAAGCCTGAGGGTTCAGTTTTGCTTTAGAAAAGAACTGATCACTTTAGATAAGAGTTATTAGTCAAATGACTAGTTCCTTCCCTATAGAAACTGAAGCATTAATTAATTAATAAAATGCTGGCATGCAAATTACTAGATATGTATCTATTGATTCAAACAAAGGCGATGAACAGAGGAACATCTTTCTTGCTTCAATTCAAGCTCCTTTTCCTTTAGACAGTCTAAAAGTAGATACAACAATAGATTGTTCAGAATCATGCCCATGCCATTTTTCTCCTTACAAAAGAAGATACAGAAAATCTTAAATTGGGGAGAGGGACAAAACTATAAGGAGTTTTATAAAACTAAGTTACTATGATTGTTGCATTTGGAGAATATATGATCTGGATTGCTCAGTAAGAGCTGAGAGGAAATTTATTCTATAAAGCTTTCTGAATCCCCACTATGTGCTAGACACAGTAATTCAATGACCATGCAAGAAAGATTCATAATTAGATAGCATATTCTGACTGTAGCTAGATATTTTTAAATTGCTTAAAATCATGTCCAGTAAATAAGTATTCAGCAGCATCCTCAATCATGCTTACACCATTAATTTGCTGAACAAATTTTTTCCTTGATTCTGATCCCTTCTGAACAGTCCAAAATTGAAACTACCAGACACTAAATTAATGCGACTTTATTACCATTATTAAAATTTTACTCAACTTTCTCTTCTGTCTTCTAAATAACTTCAAATCATTTAATCTTTCTTTCTTGAAGCAGGGGGTTCTATTTCCCAACTACTTAATTGCATTAAATGATTTCCTTTGGATCCTATTCAATTCTCTTCTTTTTCCCTTTAAAATGGAATGAGCCAGCATGAGTAATAAAGGCCCCACAGATGACGAAGACATAACAATGATGTTAATCAGTAATAACATCCCTTGGAGCAGTGGCCACAAAGTGCCAAGCACTGATGTGCAGACACTATTGAATGTTACGTAACATCTCATGTGATCCTCACACAGCTTTAAACCAAGTTTTCAAGGTTAAATGACTTCAACTCTTTACTTGTACGGATTTCTATTGATGGACACTTTAAATTTTTGAGTCGCTTACCTTTTCTCAAGTCTGTTCACGTTTTCATCATCTAATTAAATCTGTAACCTCTGGCAATAGGAAGGGTAAAGCGATTGGTGTCTAACAGAGAACTTCAAGGTCAGTAAGCCAAAGGAGACTGTCATTACACAAATGGGGGAGGAGGAAGGTTTCTCCCCCTAGATACAAAGGCAAAAAACCCTGGAAATCCAGAAAGTGCTAATGAACAGGATAAAAAGTCATTAATGTAGGACTTTTTCAGGAGCAAAGCAGCTGTTAGGCTGAAGTAATGGCATGGGAAGGAAAATTTCAGTCATCTACACTAGTGTCCAAATCTGGGAATAAACAACCTCTAATCCCAGCTGTCTCCTGGGAATGGATGGGTCTTACTAAAAAGTAACTACTGAGAAGGGGAAGAGTAATATTAATCATCGCCATCATAAGGACAGGCAGCATTTCTTCAAGCCTTTACTCTCTGCTTGACACTGTTATTTCTAATTTTCAAAATACCACAATGAATGAGGTAAAGTGCTGTATAATCCCCAGTTTATAGATGGTAACTGAGGCCCCAAAGGCAAAGAAACAGAGTGATAGTTAACATACAGTTACATTCTCTAAAAATAATTCAGATTTATCTGTCATTTCAGTAAAATTACAGGGAATAAAACCTCATTCCATGTCTGATGGAGCAATGATGGCTCCCACCAATGAGAGGTCTCAATTCTGACTCACTTATACCAAAAGGGCTCAGTCTGCTGGCAAATGAGGTGTGGGCAAATGTGGAGCCCCAAATGGACCACACGACTCCAGACCGTAGAGCTCACATCTCCTCCCTCTGTATTTCTCACCTGCCCTCTTAACATGAAACTTCCCTGGGTTCTTTTTTTTCCTGCCTATCCTTTGATGAAGGCAATAATGAAATAGCAAACGTAGCGAATGTACCAAATGATGGTGATGGGAGGATGACAAGCTAGAATGTTCTATTAGATTTAAAAAGAGGATAATCAGATCAAGAAAGAATTTTTCAAAATAGAAATACAAATATAAGCCTCAACTACCAGTTCTATCATGTGAACTGTACATAACAAGAACACCTCAGAATCAAATCAATCTATACTTTTCTTTAAAGAAAGCTGAGCACCAAGAATTGATGCTTTTGAACTGTGGTGTTGGAGAAAACTCTTGAAGTCTTCTTGCAGCCTAGTCCCTTGGGCAAGAAGATCCAACCAGTCCATCCTAAAGGAGATCAGTCCTGGGTGTTCACTGGAAGGACTGATGTTGAAGCTGAAACTCCAATACTTTGGCCACCTGATGGGAAGAACTGACTCATTTGAAAAGACCCTGATGTTGGGAAAGATTGAGGGCAGGAGAAGAAGGGGGCGACAGAAGATGAGATGGTTGGATGGCATCACTGACTCGATGGACATGGGTTTGGGTGGACTGCGGGAGTTGGTGATGGACAGGGAAGACTGTCGTGCTGCGGTTCATGGGTCTCAAAGAGTCGGACACGACTGAGCAACTGAACTGAACTGAACTGATACTTTTCTTGGGCTTCCACGTTGGCTCAGATGGTAAAGAATCTGTTTGCAATGCAGGAGACCCGGGTTTGATCCCTGCATCGGGAAGATCTCCTGGAAAAGGGAATGGCTATCCACTCTAGCATTCTTGCCTGGAGAATTCTATGAGGAGAGGAACCTGGAAGCTTACAGTCCACGGTGTTACAAAGAGTTAAACACAAGACTTAGCACACATACATTTCTTAAAGTGACAATTACAAAAGGAAAATATATTTTTAGAACACAGTGATTGTTTTAAACAAACAAAAGATAAAATAGTATTACATATTTTATGTATAAGATAAAATAATAACATCTCCAGAAGAGATCTTGAGTTTTAGGAAACCAGACATGTCTGTCTTACCTGATGAAAACCAGCTTGACCTTTGGCGGGGCAGTCTTAATAATGGCGGATGCATTTTGGTGACTTCTTCCATATAGAATCTGATTGTTTATCTGTGGTAAAAAAATAAAATGCACTTGTAAATCTACAACATATATATTTCATGTATATGTATGTGTGTATATATATACACACACACACACGTATACAAGTATATGTGCATATACTTGGAATTAAACAATAAAGTTCCTTCATTTTTAAGTGGGTAGATGTAGGACTCTTTAATGCTAAAAATCTTGACATTCTTCACAGTACAGATTCAAATACTAATTCTAAGCAGCTACTAAAATCTCTTAAATTCAGAATTTTTGGACTTTTTGCTAAACTTGACAGTAGCAGTTGAGCTAGATGCAAAAAGTTTGTGATAGATATTTCATTTCCTACAGCTTTTCCAGACTCCTAAGAAATGCAGAAAACAAACCAAACTGTGGTATTCATCAGAGCTCTGGAGGGCCCATTAAACATGATTCTGTAAACGTGTCAAGATTATTACATAGCATAAATTGTGTTACTCCAGAGGATGTAAATATTATGTCCCCATTTTAAGTCAAATATTAGATCAATTGCACAGGATATTTTACAGGACCCAATGAATGAGACATCTACTCTTATCCAAGATGAGGAGAGATTTTTTAACTTGACTGAATTCATCTAAATACTATCTAAAAACATTTACATTCTAAATTTCTTCACTCCAGATTTTCCCATTGCTAAGCTATGTTGACAGCTACAATCAATCTTTTATTTTATTTCAACCATTTGATAATAGCTCACACAGTTTTGGCTTTTTCTCCCTTGTCTGTTCAATAAGTAGTTAGTGATCTATGTAATACTGTCTCTATTTAACTGAGGCCTGATATCTTTTCCTATTTAAGGGATAGCATAGTACACTATATAAGGGATGGTAAAAACGGGGTTTATGCCTTCTGTAATTAGCATCTAATTTGCCTGTCCTTGATGCTGCTGAACTGTTGCATTGAAGACATTTAAAAAAGGTCTCATTTTTGTTCTAACAGCTCTTATGAGAAAGTATACAGAAATTAACACTTCAAAGGATGGAGGGAAAATATAATATTTTTAACTACATAAAATGAAGCTCATCCATCACCTCAAAGGGGTAAAGCTGGGATTCATATGAAAGGCTGTTACAAAGACTAAACTTGAACCACTGCTTCACTTGAACCGCTGCTTCATTATGTCTCTCATTTTGTCAGCTTTTATTCTTCACCAAGATAATCAGTTTCCTAGAAAATTACTGATCACAGTGTCATTTCTCTCTGTCTCAGTTTCTTCTTCTTTAAAATAAATCTAAGCATCTATTACATAAAACTATTGTGAGAAATGAGATAATGTCTTTAAATTTTATTTACAGTAATCTTGGAGTGAAAAAGTTGGCTTAAAACTCAACATTCAGAAAACAAAGATCATGGCATCCGGTCCCATCACTTCATGGCAAATAGATGGGGAAACAGTGGAAACAGTGGCTGATTTTATTTTTCTGGGCTCCAAAATCAGTGCAGATGGTGACTGCAGCCATGAAATTAAAAGACGCTTACTCCTTGGAAGGAAAGTTATGACCAACCTAGACACCATATTAAAAAGCAGAGACATTACTTTGCCAACAAAGGTCCATCTAGTCAAGGCTATGGTTTTTCCAGTGGTCATGTATGGATGTAAGAGTTGGACTATAAAGAAAGCTGAGTGCTGAAGAATTGATGCTTTTGAACTGTGGTGTTGGAGAAGACTCTTGAGAGTCCCTTGGGCTGCAAGGGGATCCAACCAGTCAGTTCTAAAGGAAATCAGTCCTGAATATTCATTGGAAGGACTGATGTTGAAGCTGAAACTCCAGTACTTTGGCCACCTGATGCGAAGAGCTGACTTATTTGAAAAGACCCTGGTGCTGGCAAAGATTGAGGGCAGGAGGAGAAGGGGACGACAGAGGATGAGATGGTTGGATGGCATCACTGACTCAATGGACATGAGTTTGTGTAGGCTCCGAGGGTTGACGTTGGACAGGGAGGCCTGGTGTGCTGTAGCTCGTGGGGTCGCAAAGAGTCGGACACAACTGAGCGACTGAACTGATATCCATATTGTAAAGTAATTAGCCTCCAACTAATACAAATAAATGGAAAAAAAAAATAAAATTCAAAAAAATTTTTTAAAAAAGGTTTTTAACTTTTAAGCATTAAAACTACTCACCTTTCCTGTGAAAGTGAAAGTCACTCAGTAGTGCCCTACTCTTTGCAGTGCCATGGACTACACAGTCCAACCCAGGGATCAAACCCAGGTCTCCCACATTGTAGGCGGATTCTTTACCAGCTGAGCCACAAGGAAAGCCCAAGAATACTGGAGTGGGTAGCCTATCCCTTCTCCAGCGAATCTTCCTGACCCAGGAATTGAACCAGGGTCTCTTGCATTGCAGGTGGATTCTTTACCAACTGAGCTATCAGGGATTAAGATTTCTGTCTTTTTGATATGACATATTTTTAAAAATACCCAAACTCTGTATGGTACTCTGATGATGGATACATGCCATTATGGTGATTTAGTGGTAAAGAGAATTCGCCTGCCAATGCTGGAAATACAGGAGATATAGATTTGATCCCTGGGTCAGGAAGATCCCCTGAAGGAGGAAATGGCTATGCACTCGAATATTCTTGCCAGGATAATCAAATGGAGAGAGAAGCCTTGTGGGCAACAGTCTACAGGACTAAAAAGAGTAGGACACAATTGAACGGCTGAGCACGCAGCACATAGAACATGCAAGGGCTTCCCTGGTGGCTCAGTGGTAAAGAATCTGCCTGCCAATGCAGAAGCCTCAGGTTTGATCCCTGGTTCAGGAAGATCCCCTGGAGAACGAAATGGCAATCTACTCCAATATTCTTGCCTGGGAAATCTCATGGACAGAGGAGCCTGGCAGGCTATAGTCCATGGGGTCATAAAAGAGTTGGATGTGACTCAGCAACCAAACAACAACACTGTTGAATGTGTAACGCCCAGAGTGAGCGCTAACATAAACTATGAACTCTGAGTGATAACAATGTAGGTTCAACAATTGTAATGTATGCACCACTCCAGAAGGGGATGTTGATAATGAGGGAAGCTGTGCATGTGTAGGGGTAGGGGTACACAGGAAATCTCTTTAATCTTCCTCTCAATTTGCTCTGAAAAAATAAAAAAAATTCTTTCGAGTGCCCGCCATCCATATAATATATTTTCTCCTAATACGTTCATGGTTTTATTTTTCTTATATTTATATCTTCTTACCTAACTTAGCTATTAGAAAAATAAATAAGTCATGTAGTCATTAAGAGTAATGTGAAAAAGCATGGTTCATGACATAAAAAATATCCAAAATATATTAAGTGACAAAGCCTGGCTACAACATAGTGTGTCTAGCATGATCATCTTTTTTGTTAACTATATTTCTTAATCTCTTTAATGGATAGTGAACTGAAAATAATAAAGCTTAAATCACAATTTTAAATTGAGATGATGCATGGAATATGCTTGACCAGTGCCTGGCACTCTTTCCCACTGTGTCTATACTCTGCTTTCAGAAAGTGCCTAAACCATGACCTATGCAACATTCCTGTCTTTGAACTCTGCGGCATGCGTGTGTGCTCAGTTGCTAAGTCATATCCAACTTTTTGTGGCCCCATGGGTTGTAGCCCACCAGGTTCCTCTGTCCATGAGATTTCCCAGCAAGAATATTGGTGTGGGTTGCCATTTCCTAGTCCAAGGGATCTTCAAGACCCAGAGAGCGAACCTGTGCCTCCTGCATTGGCAGGCAGATTCTTTATCACTGGGCCACCAGAGAAGCCAAAACTCTAGGTTTGAAAAATTTCTCTTATTACACTTGTACTGCACCCATATGGTAAAGCCAACCATGGTCAGGTAGAGAGCATCAGTGCAGGCACACAACAGTAATTGAACAGCGCTAAACTCCTTGAGGGTACGAACCTGCATCCTCCTCTATGTATTCCCCAGCTTTCACACATAGCTTGCATACAGTGGCGGCTCAATGAGGATGCACTGAATCACAGATCCCTGGGTGAAAGGAACACTTCCATTACTCAACTGCTAGTATGCTGTCTCTGAGGTGGGCTCTAACCTTCAACACAATTGACATTTTTTTAAAATGCTTTTTTTTTTTAGCAAAAGCTTGAGAGAATAGAAAATTGAGCTGTTTCATGTTTATGGATATGCCTTTTAGTTGCGATTCTTCATTTTGATAGAAAAGAACCCATGGCACTATTATTCTAAGAAGGAAAAATCACAGCCCAAATGAAGAAACCAAGTCATTAATTTTAATTTACCTAAGCGTAAATCTGAAGTTGTATGTCTTTCATGGTGCTGTTTCTGAATATTCAGAGGCCCTGGCAGTAGAACAGCAAGGCAGCTTGCTTGCTGGCGATGTTCTTCCAGTGCCAACAACTGTGGCATTTACTGCTAAGGCAGCTGCTCCCTGCCAAGGTTAGGGGCCTCTGGAGAGACTCTGCTACTCAGTGGAAAACTGGGAACAGAATGGGAAACTGAAGATAGAATGAAACTTGATTTTACTGGATTAAATATAAAAGGAAAATGCAGATCTCTGGATAAAAAAAATCCAAGACAAAGCCTCTTTTCTGGCTTCACAAATTACACATTAGCAGTCCTCTGAGTTTCAGGAGAGGACAATCTCTTTTGTGTTCTCTAGATCTTATTGTATATAAAGCAACTTCACTATGTAAATAAAAGGTATACAGCTTCCAACAATATAAGTGACCTTTATATTTCCTTATCTCTAAGGAAACACATTCCAGAGAAAATTCAGTAAGTAATTAGAAAGAATATGATGCATTTTATGCAAATTAACTTTAGGTTATCACTTACCCTATTTCTGAGAAGCTGCTGTTTTCTGTTGTTTAAACAATAGATAAAGGGCATCTTCAAGTATAGCATGGACAGGAAAGAAAGCATTTTACACCTCCTGGAAGGTTTTCAGGTTAATTCTAATTATTAATAGCTACCAGTCACTGAGTGCTTACTCTGTGCCAAACACTGCAAACCT